TCTCAAACATGTTGTTTACATAATCCTCTGCTGCAGGCTGATCAGCAGAGGCAGCTTCTTCGTGGAGAACAACACTCTTCAGATGATACCTCTTCTGGAACTTCTCAAACCAACCCTTGCTTGCTGTGAAATCCATGAACATTGCAGAAAAGGGTCCTGGTTGAGGTTTGTCTGCTGTAAAGTACTGATAGAGCTACTGTGCCTTCTCCTAGATGGCTAGAGAATCCAATGGAATGTTTTTCTTGTGGCTGTCACTGATCCAAATGGTTAGGGCAGACTCTGTTTTCACTATGAACTTATTATGACTTGTCACAACGCACTTTGCTACTGTTGAAAGAGACAGTAGCCATTGCACGGATGTTCTTTTCATCTCTATGGATAGAGCAAACGGTAGACTCATTCAAGTTGTAATGGTGGACAAACTCCATGATTTTCTTGCCATCTTTGATCATGTCCAAGAGTTTCACCTTTTCCTGGATGGTAAGCATCTTTCTCCGGTGCTTAGTTTCATCATCAGAGGCTTAGAAGAAGCAGCATGTTTATGATCCATCGTGGAGCTTAGATAAAAGTTCTCAAAAATTGCAAACACAAGAGCAAAGATGTTTCAGATATGCAGCAGTGTAGAAGCATGTATGAGAGAAACAAACTTGCATAAGGCTGAGCCAATCAGTAGGCAGGATAGGAAGACTATAGGATAGCCAATCAATGAACAGCACACTCTGATTGACTTGGTTTCACCACACTCGATTTTTTGGAACAAAAGTTATTTCTCATTGAAAAAAAAATTAGAGGAAGATATAGAAAAGTGGAAGCACATACCTTGTTCATGGACTAAAAGAATTAACATCCTTAAAATGTCCATACTACCCAAAGCAATCTATAGATTCAAGGCAATCCCCATCAAAATACCAATGACATTCTTCACAAAACTAAAACAAATACTTCAAAAGTTCACATGGAACCAAAAAAGACCCCGAATAGCCACAGCAATCTTGAAAAAGAAGAACAAAATTGGAGGGATCACATTACCAGATTTCAGGTTATACTACAAAGCCACTGTAATCAAAACAGCCTGGTCCTGGCACAAGAACAGGCAGACAGATCAATGAAATAGAATAGAGAACCCAGAAATGGACCCAAGACAATACACTCAATTAATATTTGACAAAGGGGGCAAGAGCATACAGTGGAGTAAGGACAACCTCTTTAATAAATGGTGTTGGGGAAATTGGACAGCTACATGCAAAAAAAAAAAATGAAACTAGACCATCAATTTACAACAAACACAAGAATAAACTCAAAATGCATAAAAGACTTAAATGAGCCCTGACCAGTTTGACTCGGTGGTTAGAGCGTTGGCCTGTGGTCCAGAGAGACCTGGGTTTGTTTCCCACTGGGGGCGCATACCTTGGATGCAGTTTGACCCCAGCCCTGGTTGGTCGTGCAGGTGGCAGCCATTCAATGTGTCTCTTTCACGTCGATGTTTCTCTCTCTCTCTTCCTCTCTCTTTCTTCTGCTCTATCGGAACAAAAAAATGGGGGAAAAAATGTCCCTGCGTGAAGATAGATAAAAAACAAAAACTTAAATGTGACTCATGAATCCATAAAAATCCTAGAAGAAAATGTAGGCAACAAAATTTTGGACATCATACGCAGCAAAATTTTCACTGATACATCACCTAAAGCAACAGAAACAAAGGAAAAAATGAACACATGGGACTATTTCAAACTCAAAAGCTTCTGCACAGCAAAAGAAACCACCACCAAACTGGAAAGACAACCCACTCTATGGGAGAGCATAATTGCCAATGATATATCAGATAAGGGGTTAATTTCCAATATATATATAAAGTGCCCATACAGTTCAACAAAAGAAAGACAAAGAACCCAATTAAAAAATGGGCAGAGGAGCTGAATAGACACCTCTCCAAACAGGACATACAAATGGCCAAGAGACAGATGAAAAAATGCTCAACATCACTAATCATCAGAGAGATGCAAATTAAAACAACAATGAGGTATTACCTCACACCTGTCAGAATGGCCGCCATCAACAAATCATCAAACAAGTGTTGGTGAGGTTGTGGAGAAAAGGGGACTCTAGTACACTGCTGGTGGGAATGCAGACTGGTGCCGCCACTATGGAAAACAATATGGTGTTACCTCAAAAAATTAAAAATTGATCTGCCATTTGACCCAGTGATCCCACTCCTAGGAATATACCGTAAGAAGCCTGAAACACCAATCAGAAAGAATATATGTACCCCCATGTTTATAGCAGCAGCACTATTTACAATAGCTAAGATCTGGAAACACGCCAAGTGTCCATCAGTAGATACATGGATAAAAAAGCAGTGGTACATATACACAATGGAGTACTATGCAGCTGTAAGAAAGAAAGATCTCTTATCCTTTGAGACAACATGGAGGGACCTGGAGAGTATTATCCTATGCAAAACAAGCCAAGCAGATAAAGACAAATATCACATGATCTCACTTATTTGTGGAATGTAATGAACATAACAGTCTGAGGAACGAGGAGTCCCAGAGACATGGAAGTGGGATACAGACTGACAATCCCCAGAAGGGCAGGAGGTAGAGATAAACCACAGAACTTATATGCATGTATGCATGAACAATGGACATGGACAACAAAGCTGGGGACAGGGCGGGGAAGGAGGCAGAGGGGGGAGTCGGGGGGAGAAAAAAGAGAAACATCTATAACAAAAATAAATTAATTTTAAAAATAGGAAGAAGAAAATCCACATTGTGTATAGATATTAAAATGAATATTAAAATTTTTTAATAAATAAATAAATAATTTTTTTAAAAGTTATTGCCCACATACAAGGAGTGGTCGAGTGGTTGCACCTGGTGTTGAAGGATTTGCAGGGGTGCTGAAATACATAGGCCTACAGTCCATATATACTTTTAATTGTAATTGTAATACAAGGGTGTATAATTGACTGAGACAACCGAGTGGGTGCTGTATCATTTTCGCTATCTCGATCAACTTTTTAATGAATATATTTGAAAAAACCGCAATAGAGTGAAGTTGTGAAAGTCGAAGCTCAAAGTGGTGAGGGACGACTGTACATTTTCTTCTAGAATTTTTATGGTTTCATGAGTTATATTTAAGTCTTTTATCCATTTTGAGTTTATTCTTGTGTATGGTGTAAGCTAGTGGTCTAGTTTCATTTGTTTGCATATAGCTATCCAATTTTCCTAACACCATTTATTGAAGAGACTGTCTTTTCTCCATTGTATGCTCTTGCCTCCACAATTAATATTTAAGGCCATTGTTTCTTTGATGAGCCCTCTCCCCGCAAAACTGGCAGACATTCACCATATCTGAGACTTCATCAACCTGGTTCACACTGCCCCACCCTGGTGATTCCCTGTGGCCTCACCTCATCCAACTTTTAGGACAACCCAAGCTGTTTCTGGTGACTTTTCCATATGAATGGCCTGTCTTATCTTTTGCTTCAGATTTTCCTAAAATCTATCAAACAAGTAGCATCTGGCCTCAGCGAGCTCCATACCTCTCACTAAGTGACCCCAGGCCCAGCACTAGCAGCAGCCAGCCTTGGTTCACAACTTCACCTTGCCTGAGCACCTTCAAGCTCAGCACAGGTAGTAACCATCTGCAGATTGATTTGTAGCTCATGCCAGGTGGCCCCAGGCAGAACACAGGCAGCAGCTGACCTTGACCTGCACTTCCCAGGAGGACCCAGAGCCAGTGCACCCAGTAGACAGCTTCAGACAATGTCAAAGTATCACCACCCAACCACCTCCATAAATGATACATTTCAGGAGTAGACGCAGTGGGCACCAGAGCCCCACTGAAGTAAGTCCTGCTATGTAGGGTGGGCCCAAGCACAGCTGATCCTCCATAGTGGTTGGAGGTTGGAAGTTAGTTGTTGAAGCCAGTTCTTTTGAGATAATAGATAGGTTTATAACATAGATTGTGGTAATGGTTTAAAGTCATCAATTTGTATGCATTAAACATGTATATCTTTTTGTATGTCAATCATACAAAAATGTAGCTTTTAAAATGAAAATAATTGTGTGTGTTTTTCGAGGCCTGGTTAGTGTCATCAAAAATCTGCTGAAGGTGAAATTTAAAAAGACTACTTTTCCACTGATCTTCCCCATGTATAATACAAAATAGTTGATTAGCAACCTGGCCGGTCAAATACACTTAGTACTGAACACTTCTTATGTGCCACTTCAAGGTCTCTTGGCCTCACTGTCTATTACTTGCTTCATTCCAACTACTGTATTGTAAGTTTTAAAACTTGATATTTTCCTGTTGCCTCAACATCCCCACAAACAGGCTGTGAGCACCCCACCCTGGTGACCAGGTGCACCAACATGATAAGGCTAATCCTTGCCACAGGTCTCCCTTTTTGCCCTCCCCTGATTGTGACCTAGTAACATTCAAAGGCACCAATGAAATCCCCTTATGCCTTTTGCTTGTGTACTCCACCCTGACTCCCAATATAAGTCATTTGTCTACAGGTCTTCTCTCTCTCCACTCCCCATCTGTTTAGCCAGCCGATTTCCTTGGTATTTTTCCCATGCGGCCCTCTTATGGAATTAAATGACTCTGTCTCTTTAAGACTTATAAGTATGATAAACTGTTTTCCTGTGCCTCTTGCATGTCCCCTCTTGTGGCTGCATCTGACTGACCATCTCATGAAAGAATACAAACAGCTACCATGATAAAATGAATTCATACAAGTACAACGCAGCAGTTGTACCTATATGAATCTTTTGACCCCACCTCCCTACCTCCCATAACACACCATAGAGATGAAAAGTTCAGTGGTCCATAGGTATGGATCCTTATGCTTCCTTGAATGCCTAATGCTCTATGAATCACTGTGCAACTGGAGTCTTCATCCATATATGATCTAAAGATTGTGATTCTGTATTCTCAGTTATTCTGGGAATGAGACTGGGGCTATTCCTACTGGGGATCCCCTGTTCAGGCCTTACCTGAGCAGATTACTCCAGCATCAAAGTTATGGGAAAAGCCAAGATTATGATAGTTTTCAACCGCAGAATACCTACAGTCATTGATTGTCAATTCTGTCCCTTCGCAATAAAGATATGAAATCCAAATGGGTTCAGCCTGTGAGCCAAAATAAGCCCCTATGGAAATATCAGTAGCAACTCCACATTCCAGCTGTCTGCACACCACAGCTGCATCCTCCAAGCCCCAGTCAAAAGCATGCACTGTGCCCCATACTCCTTGGAACTTCACTTCCACTCTCCCCTCACAGCGGTGGCCTCCATTCTTCAGCCTCGGGCCTAGAACTGCAAGAGAGACATAGACAGAACACATAACACAGGAGAGATTTTAGGAGACCATACAGTGGTACACAGTTAAGCATTTAAAAACTAGGCCTGTGGGAGGGTTCCAAAGGTCAAGATGGCAGAGTGTGTAAATGCTATTCTTACCAGCTCCCATGACAACATCAAAATTACAATTAAATTGTAGAATAATCAACCTGGATAACCATATGAAGACTATCTGAACAGAAGTCCTATAACTAAGGACATAAAGAGAAGCCACATTGTGACTGATAGGAGGGGTGGAGACACGTGACAAGCTAGTCCCACACCCATGGCATGGTAGTTAAGAATTGGGAGAGATATTTCTCTGCAGAGATTTCCCCCTAAGAAGCGAAAGGCCCCAGCCCTACACTGGCTTCCCAACTCAAATCACCAGTGCCAGGAAGAGAAACTCCCATAACATCTGGCTGTATAAAATTAGTGGGGATTCAGTTTGTCTGGATGAGATGGAGGAATGATGGACAGATGCCTAGGTGTCCTCTAAAAGGGTCCACTCACAGACTTGCTTGCAGCTACTAACCCTGGGCTCCAGCAGAGGGACATCAGCTCAGGGGGCATCAGAGACATACAGGGAGAAAATGAGGCGTGTGGCTTCAGAGTGATGATTGGAGGAACAGCTGCCATTGTCCCTGTGTTGAGTGCTCCTCCCACAAAGCCAAATCTAAATCTGCATTAGACAGGTGAACACTCCACCCTGACAAATCCCTGAGATCCCACCCAACTCAAACATCACCAGTGGCTCTTTTAGTGGCAGAAAGCCAGCCTTGGCCAGGCTGCAATCTTTCTTAATAACTCTCAAAGGTCTGCAGGGCTCAGGCAGGTGGCAGCTGGCCTTGGTGTACCCTGTGCCTTTTGCTGAGTGGTACCTGCATTAACCTGGTGAGCACAATTTTCCCCACTCTAGTGACTCACTGAGACCCCATCTAACCCAATTTTTGTACTATCTAAGCATCTTTCAGGATAAATCTATGGGTAGCCAGCAGGCAGTGACAGGCCTTGGGGTGCCCTGTTCTTATGCTAAGCACCCCAGGCCCAATACTGGTGGCAGCAGCCTTGGTTCACAGTGTGGCCTCTCCCACTTGCCTCTAGGCCCAACACAGGCAGCTACCAACCATGATCATTTTGCAACTCCTACCAGGTAGACCTGGGCAGGTTATAGGCAGCAGCTGACCTTGGCCTGCACCAGAGCTCCTCCTGTAAGGCCCCAGAACCAACACATATAATGGCAGTTTCAGACCACAACAGGCATCACCCAATTAAATAATGGCACACCCAAAGGGTGGTCTCAGCAGGCATCAAGGTTGAATCCCACGCTTTGGGAAAGAAAAATAGCACATGATCTCACTTATTTATGGAATATCATGAACAAAATAAGCTGATGATCAAAATAGATCCAGAGACATGAAAGTAGAGAACAAACTGACAAACCTCAGAGGTAAGGGGGGGGGGGGAGGTTGGGAAGAGATAAACCAAAGAACTTATATGCATAACAAATGGGTACAAACAATAGTGTGGGAAAGGCAGGAGGGGAGGCAGGATGGGGGAAGAGGGTGTCAATGGGGAAAAAAGGGAGAAACATGTGTAACAAAAATAAAATGAAAATAAATAAATAAATAAATTCCTGAAAGCAAAAAAAAAATTAGCAAATCACATTAGCAATAAATTCATTTAGAAGATTATACACTGTGCTCAATTAGGATTTATTCCTGGCATGGAAGTTTGGCTCTATATTCATGAATCAATTAACATGATATACCACATAAATAAAATGGATATAAAACATATGATTATACTAATAGATGTGGGAAAAGCATTTGACAAAATCCAGCATCCATTTATGATAAAAACTCTCACCAAAAGGGGGAAAAGGGAACATGCCTTAATATAATAAAAACAATATATAACAAACCCACAGCTAACATTATACTAAATGGAGAAAGGGTAAAAGCATTTTTCTTAAGATCAGGAACAAGATAAGGTTGTCCATTTTCACCACTTCTATTCAGCATAGTATGGAAAGTCCTAACCACAGTAATCAGACAATTAAAAGAAATAAAATGTTTCCTAATTGGAAAGGAAGTAAAACTGTCATTATTTGCAAATTATACGATGCTTTGTGTAGAGAACTCTAAAACTACCACCAAAAAAACTACTAGAACTGATAAAGGAATTCAGTAAAGCAGTAGGATACAAAATTAATCTTCAGAAATTTATTGCATTTTTATAAACCTATAATGAACTATCAGAAAAATAAATTAAGAAACAATCCCATTTACAATTACATCAAAATATAAAATAAAATAGCTAGAAGTAAATTTAACCAAGGAGATAAGAAACCTGTACTTAAAAAAATTATAAGAGCTGTGGTACATATACACAATGGAGTACTATGCAGCTGTAAGAAAAAAAGATCTCTTATCTTTGAGATGACATGGAGGGACCTGGAAAGTATTATCCTAAGTGAAATAAGCCAAGCAGAAAAAGACAAATACCACATGATCTCACTTATATATGGAATATAATGAACATAACAGTCTGAGGAATAGGGTAGACCCAGAAACATGGAAGTAGGGTACAGACTCAGAAGAGGGGGTGGTAGGAGAGATAAACCACAGAACATATATGCATGTATGCATAACCAATGGACATGGACAACAAAGTCGGAGATGGGGTGAGGGGGGATGGGGAGGAGGATGTCAATGGGGTAAAAAAGGAGAAACATCTATAACAAAAATAAAATTTAAAAAAAATAAAGAAATAAAAAAAAATTATAAGACATTGAAGAAAAAAATTAAAGAAGATACAAATAGATGGAAGCCTATACTGTGTTCATGGATAAAAAGAATTTACATTGTTAAAATGTCCATACTACTCAAAGCAATCTATAGGTTCAATGCATCCCTATCAAAATACCAATAAAATTATTTATAGAGGTAGAACATATAATCCTAAAATTTATATGGAAAAACAAAAGACCCCCAAATAGCCAAAGCAATCTTGAGAAAGAAGAACATACTTGGAGGTGTAACATTACCTAATATCAACCTATACTACAAGGCTATAGTAAATAAAACAGCGTGGTAATGGCATAAAAACACATATGTAGATCAATGGAACAGAATATAGAGCCCAGAAATAAACCCATGCCTAAATGGTCAGTTAATCTACAGCAAAGGAAGTAAGAATATACTATAGGATAAAAACAGTCTATTCAATAAATGGTGTTGGGAAAACTGGACAGATACATGCCAAATAAATGAAATTAGACCATCCTCCTATACCATATACAAGAATAAACTCAAAATGGATTGAAGACTTAAATGTAAGACCTAAAACCATAAAATTCCTAGAAGAAAACATAAAGAGGCAGTAAACTCTCTGACATTTCTCTTAGTAATATTTTTTCTGATATATCATCTCATGCAGGGGAAACAAAAGAAAATATTGACAAATCAGACTACATTAAACTAAAAAAATTTTTCACAACAAAGAAAACTATCAACGAAACAGAGACACCTTTTGATTGGGAGATAATATTTACCAATGATATATCTGATAAGGGCTTAATATCCAAAATTTATAAAGAACTCATACAACTTGCCCTGGCCTGTGTGGCTCAGTTGGTTGAGCAAATTTCCATGCACTGAAAGGTCACTGGTTCGATTCCTGGTCAGGACACATGCCCTGGTTGCAGGTTTGATTCCCAGTCAGGTACATATGGGAGGCAACAGATAGATATTTCTCTCTCATGTCAATGTTTCTCTCTCCCCCCCTTCCTCTCTCTAAATCAATAAAAACATTTTTTTAAAAACTCACAACTCACCAAAAAAAAAAAAAAAAAAAAAAAACAATCTAATTTAAAAACTGTCAAAGGACCTGAATAGACATTTCTCCAAAGAGAATATACAGATGGCTGAGACATATGAAAAGATGCTCAATGTCATTAATCATTAAAGAAATGCCAATTAAAACCACAATAAGATGTCACCTCCCACCTGTCAGAATGGCTATTATCAATTAATGAACAAACAACAAGGGTTGGTGAGGATGTGGAAAGAAAGGATCCCTTGTGCACTGTTGATGGGAATGCAAATTGGTACAGCCACTATGGAAAAAATATGGAGGTTGCTAGGAAAATTAAAAATAGAACTACCTTACGATCCAGCAATTACAATTCTGGGTATTTATTCAAAGAAATCCAAAACACTAATTTAAAATAATATATGCATCCCTATGTTCACTGCAGCTTTAGTTACAATAGCCAAGCTATGGAAGCACCCAAAGAGCCTATCAATAGACAACTGGATAAAAAGTGGCACATACATACAATGGAATATTACTCAGCCATGGAAAAGAATGCAATCTTGCCATTTGGGACAACATGGATGGACCTAGAGGGTACTATGCTAAGTGAAATAAGTAAGTTAGAAAGACAAATACCATGTGATTTCACTTATATGTGGAATCAAAAGAACAAAACTAACCAATAAACAAAACAGAAACACACTGATAGATACAGATTACAAGTTGATGGTGGCCAGATGGAAGGGAAATTATTAAGTGAGCTAGGTGGAAAATGTGAAGATATTAAAAAGTTCATGCCCTGGCTGAGTGACTAGTTGGTTGGAGTGTCATCCTGTACACCAAAAAGTTTGGGTTCAATTCCCAGTCAGGGCACATACCTAGGTTCCAGGTTCAATCCCCAGTCAGGTGCATACAAAGGCAACCAATCAATGTTTCTCTCTCTCTCTCCCCCACTTCCTCTCTCTAAAAATCAGTAAACATATACTCAGGTGAAGATTAAAAAAAAAAAAAAGGTCATAATGGTAGTTACAAAATAGTTACAGGGATGTAAAATACAGCACATGAAATATAGTCAATAATATTGTAATAATTATGTATGGTGCCAGATGGGTACTCGAATTATTGGGAGCATCACTTCATAAATTATATAAATGTCT